CTGTACCAGTCAGATCCAATTTGATGGTACACACACGCACACATACAAATAATAATAAAATTTTTAAAAAATCAAATATTAGTGAGGCTTATATTAAAAAAATAGTAGTCCCATGTTCCTCTTCCTACCTGGTAATCTGCCTTCCTCTTTTAGCTGTTTCTTTTGGAATTTATTCCTTTATGAATAACATTTATCCTGCTGTTCCCCCCCCATTTTAGTTAATATTTATTTACTTTTATAGAAAGGGAGGGCTTAATTCTGAAACCTCCACCCCGCCTCCAAATACACCTCTTGCACCCTCTGCATCCTCCTGGTCTGGAGGCTCCTGAATTGCTAGGAGATTTTGTGACTTATTTCTTTGATGTTTTTCTCTCTTGTTACTGTATTCTTTTTCTAGAACTCACCTTTGAATTCTGGATTTTGTTCCTTCAGGATTGGTCTATTTTTGTGTATATTTTTTTTTTTTTAATGTGTGTACCTCAAATTGGATCTGACTGGTACAGGAGGCGATTGTTCCTCCTCCTTCAGCAGAGCATCTGGTGGATTTTTGTGTGTATTTTAATATCCTTTCTGTCTGCATAGAAGGTAGGAAGGTCAGCAAAAGAGAGGAAGACCCTCAGCAAGATGACTTGGCCCAGTGACTGCAGCAATGGGCTTAAGTGGGTCAGAGATTGTGAGGATGGCCAGGATAGGATCCCTTGGTCACTATGGATCGTGTTCGACTAGACAGCACTTGCCAGCATCATCAGCCTTTCAGTCCCTTTAGGAGAACTGTGTTAACTTCTCTTCTGATTCTGTGTGAGGTTTTTCTTCTCTGCAGTCCTGATTTGAGAGTCCCCTTCCTTGCTCAAACTCACTGCCATCCAGTTGGTTCTGACTCTAGGCGACTCTCCATTGAGTTTCTGAGGCTGCAGATCACCCTGGGAGGAAACAGCTCCTCTTCCTCCCACTGGTGGATTTGAACCACCAGAGATGTGAGGTAGCTATGCAACTTGCTATGAACCACAACACCAGTGCTCTTTAAATACAGAATATTGATGCTTTAAAGGAATTGTCTGTGATGAAGTGTAGAGAACTCCCTTTCCTCTCCAGAGTTGGCCTTGGCTCAAGGTGGAATAATAGATCTGAGTGTACCACATCATCTCAGAGAGAGTGGATAAAACTTGATTCTGATTCACTTGGGCACCAACGCAGCTGTCATTTTCACTCTTGAGCTCTACCTTAACACCTCGATGCACTTAATTTTCAGATCCTCAATGCTAGAGACACTGAACAAGGGTGGTTTCCAGGCATCTCTCAGCAGGTCTTTAAAGTAGCCTGAGGACCTGTACTGACTAAATCTGATGAGATTGTATCACTCAACAAGTATCAGATGCTATATTCTAGATAGGTAGTAACATGAAAACTTTGAGAGAAATAGAATGGAGGGGGACAATTATCCATTGATGATAATTTTTGTATCAGTTTAGGACAGTACATTATTTCTATTTTATCATTTGAGACCAACTTAAAACCACTGGAGGCTCAGCTGTGAATCATTTCTGATCACCAGCAATGAGGTGGTCTTTTCCTTCCATTTGATAAACATTTAACTTTAAAAATGTAAGTATTTTGTTTATTAGTCACATCCTCTGACTCAGCACATAATCCACTTACTGCTTGCTGTGTGCATGGCCGAGGGTGGCTCTTGGGTTGAGTCTGAGTCTTCCATACGGGAGACCCAGGTTCAATTCCTAGATATGCCCTTCCCATGCAGCCCCAGCCATCTGTCAGCGGAGACATATTTGTTGCTAAGATACGAACCGGACTTTAGTGGAACTTCCACACAGATGGTCTAGGAACAGAGACTTCACCGGGTGCTTGTGAAAAATCTCTCCATGAAAATGCAGCAATCAGATTCACAGTCTGTCATGGGGAGGGGTTTATGGGGTCTCCATGAGTCAAGAGCTAACAACAAAATGGGCTGGACTAGGTGCCGGGATCCAGACTGTAGTTTTTGTAGCAAACAAGATACACAGCCCTACCGTCAAAGTGGTGACTGCAGACGCCAGTCATTTTTAAGATAAAGGAAGTACAAGATGCTATCTGTCCATCCATATAGCAGGTGAACAGACACCATCTAGACTGATCATGAAAGTCCTTGCAGAAAAAGTGATATGAGACCTAAAGATTGTCAAAGTCAGGGAGGGGATGAGGAAGAATGTTCTAGACAAACAGAATAGTGAAAGTGAAAGCCCAAACAAAGGCTAAGGGGGAAAGAAGGGAGAATTTTAGAAATAAAGAAGTTGTAAAAGTGAAGAGAGCAGCAAGACTGAATGCCGGACCTCAAGGATCTTACAAGCAGTTACGGCATGCATTTGGATGGTCTCCTAAAGGCAGCAAAGTCTAACCCACCGTCCTAGAGTTGATTCCAACTTAAAGCAACCCTCTCTCAGGTTTCTGAGGCTACAATCTTGATGGACAGAGACTGCCCACACTTTTTTTAAAAAAAAAAATAGAGCAACTGGTGTGTTCAAACCACTGATCTTTTGGTTAGCAGTACAACATGCTACAATGCCGTGCCACCAATTGTTGTTGTTGTTGTTATGTGCTGTCGAGTCGCTTGCAACTCATAGAGACCCTATGTACAACAGCCCTAAACTCTGCTCTGTCCTATGCCAGTCACACTGTCTCTGACACTCCCATCCTGATTACCCCAGTCATTTAATCAGTCCACCTCATAGAGGGTCTTACCCTCCTGCTCTGTCCCTCCACCCTCCCAAGCATGATGTCCCTCTCCAAGGACCGGTCATCCCTCCTTACAACATGTCCAAAATATGTTAGATGGAGCCTCAGAATCCTTGCCTCCAAGGAGCCACCCACTTTAACCTTTTCCAGGATCAATCTGTTTGTTTTCCTAGCAGTCCATGGTATTCTCAATACTCTTCTCCAGCACCACAGCTCAAAGGCATCAATTCTCCTTCTATCCTCCTTGGTCATTGTCCTACTTTCTGATGCATAACAAGTGATAGAAAAGACCATGGCCTATATCAGACTCACCTTAGTCTCCAGAGAGACACCATTGCTCCTGAGTACTTTAGAGAGGTCCCTAACAGCAGACTTTCCCATCGGGATATGCTTTTTGATTTCCTGACTGCTGGTGCCAAGAGTGTTGACTATGGAGCCAAGCAAACTGTGTACAATCTCAATCTCTTCACCATCCATCCTGATGCTGCCAGTTGGTCCAGTGGTGAGAATCTTTGTCTTCTTGACATTGAGCCTCAATCCATATTGGAGGCTGCAGTCCTTGACCCTCTGCAGCAAGTGTTTCAGGTCCTCTTCAGTTTCAGCAAGCAGGGTTGTGTCATCTGCATAGCGCAGGTTGTTGATAAATCGTCCGCAAATCTTGACCCCACATTTCTCTTCATAGAGCCCAGCCTCCCGGATAATCTGCTCTGCACACAGGTTGAAAAGGTATGGAGATAAGATGCATCCCTGGCGTACGCCCTTCCCAATTTTGAACCATGCAGTGTTTCCTTGCTCTGTTCTGACGACTGCCTCCTGGTCCAAGTATAGGTTTCACATTAAAACGATCAAGTGTTCTGGGATTCCCATTCCTCTCAGAGTCAGCCACAGTTTGTTATGATCCACACAGTCAAACGCCTTTGCATAGTCGATGAAACACAGATAGACATTCCTCTGGTATTCCCTGCTTTCAGCTAAGATCCATCTAACATCAAATACAACATCCCTAGTACCACGACCCCTTCTAAGCCCAGCCTGAACTTCTGGAAGTTCTCTGCTGATGTGCTGTTCCAGTCTTTGTATAACCTTCAGTAGACTCTTGCTTGCATGTGAAATCAATGGGATTGTTCTACAGTTTCCACACTCTGTTGGGTCACCTTTCTTTGCTGTGGGAACAAGTGCCTTCTAAATACTGTGGGAAACAAAGACTAAGTTTAAGCCACCACTGTTTTGTGGTGTCGAGTAGGGACAGTAGTAGGCTGGAAACAAAAAAGCCAGTTAGGGACCTCTGACAGGAGCCCTTCTGTGGGATGGTGGTACACTAATGAGAGAGGAGGGTACAGAGAACTGGGCAGTCAAAAGATGCTTAAGCAACTATATGTTAGTACCCATCACTTGAACTTGAATCACTTAAATTTGAAATGTAGTCATTTGTTGCTGCTAAATAAGGCTTGCCCCTTTAGAAATTGTGTAACAAACCTAAGAGACCTGAGTCAGTCTACTTAACAACACCTACATCATCAACAACAAAGGGTGGGAGGAGTCCTGGTGGTGCAGTGGTGGAACACTTGGCTGCTAACTAGAAGGTTCTAACCCATCTACCCTCCACAGGAGAAAGAGGTGTGGATCTGCTTCCATAAAGATTTACCCCCTGGAACCCACATGAGACATTACTGCTCTATCCTACAGAGTTAGTAAGCGGGAGAAACTGCTATGTAGCAGTAAATTTGGTTTTGGAGTTTGGATAGTCCTATTCTTTCCAGAGTGTTTCACAGCTTAGAAGGTGTCATTTTATTGTGTTGTTTTTCTCTCGCATACCCCAGGATGTCTCGAGAAGGCTTAACTTACTTCTTATACTTTAAAGACTAATACAGAAACCATAGAAATTAAGTTGGATGACATATGACTTTCAAGTGCACTTTGAGTTCTGCTAGCTGGTGTAGTCTCTCCCTGTAAGAAAATCTGCCTAGAAATCTGTTTCTTTAAGCAGAAGGGAACACGTTGGTCAGTGGGCAGTACCCGAATAGCGTGGTGCTCCTGCAGGGTTGAGAATGTGTCCACTGGGCAAACTGGAGGGTGTATTGGGCTACTTTCACTTTTCATTTCAGTTTATTCTTAACTGCATTTGAGCTGGAAGGAAGTTTTACTTACAAGATTATAATGATTCAATAGCTAATGATTCAAATGAGAAGATAGCCTTATTTCTGAGTTTAAGGTGTATCTTATTTTATTATTATTAATTGATTGGCCTTCCCTTTTTCCCCTACCCCCAACAGTGTCCATGGGCTACCCCTCAAAATACGAGATCTTGTTCCTTGGCTGAGGTAATGAGTGAACAATTGGCTAAAGAATTACAGTTAGAAGAGGAAGTTGCTGCTTTTCCTGAAGTTGGTGGGTAAGTAAAGCACACCAAGAATATATTTTATCAGCAGCTTTTTATATCAGACTTTTAGGATTTGATTCGTGTTTGTCCTAACTGATTAAAACATACCCTTAGAAAAACACTGCACTAGAAAGCGCACCGTATACACACCCATTGATACCTGGGTTCTGATGTTGTTTCTATGATTGGTTTTCAGTACAATCATGGACAAATCGCCCCGCTTCTCTGCATTTTAATTATGTTACCAGTAGAACTTGCTGATCTCCAAATAAACAAATAGTGAGGTGGCATACAGGATCGATGAAGTGCTTGTAGTTGATTAACACTCATCTGCTCTTTTTTTTAGAACACGGCACGATTGCATTGATAGGCTTAGTTTGGATAATATTTGAACCCTTTAACTTTCTCTTATACCTTTCTTAATTCTAATTCATGCTTTCACAAGTCATTAATCAGGAGGGAACCAGTCAGGGAAACATGAATGGTGTGGTAGAGTTCTTTCCCTTCACTGCTTCAGTAGATTTTGAAACTGGAAAGGCTTAGCCTACGCTTGTAATTAGTGGCATCCTTTACGTGCACACATCATAGTAGTATCATAGTAGTTTATATTGCCTTATTTTGATAGTGTTGCTGAAGGACCATTTATCACTGGAGAAAACACTGATACTTCCAGCGACCTAATGCTGGCTCAGATGCTACAGATGGAATTTGACAGAGAATATGATGCACAGCTCAGGCGTGAAGAAAAAAAATTCAATGGCGATAGCAAAGGTAGTATGGTCATACTGTGATGTGTTGGTTGGTAGGAAGCGCTTGTACCATGCACCCAAATAAATCTCAAACTATTTTTGCCTTTTTAAGTTTCTATTTCCTTTGAAAATTACCGAAAAGTACATCCTTATGAAGACAGTGATAGCTCTGAAGATGAGGTTGACTGGCAAGATACATGGGATGACCCCTACAGACCAGGTATCTGCTTGTGATAATCTGGGGGAGGGAGCAGCTGTCAGGTTAGAGGAATAGATAGACTCTTTTTCCTAATGAACTTGTCATGTTTATGTTTGTCTCTCAATCTGACAATTGCAAATTTATTCTAAGATTTACATGGCTTTTCAGACTTTGGTGAGTGCAACAGTATTATCTGATATTTTTCTATACTTGTCTTCTATCTCTTAATTGCCTTTTAGCAAAACCAATTCCTACTCCTAAGAAGGGTTTTATTGGAAAAGGAAAAGACATCACCACCAAACATGATGAAGTAGTATGTGGGAGAAAGAACACAGCAAGAATGGAAAATGTAAGTTACACAAAGTGTCCCTGAGGTGAAAATTTTGCTTGAATAAGTTAAAAACATAGGCCTTTATATATGATATCTTAAATTTATTTAAAAATACCCTTTTTCTTAAAAAATGTGGATGACAATAGAACAATACTATGAAAACTGAGCTAATAAGATAAAGTACCCCAGGGTAAAATGCTGAAATCATCTTAAGAGATTCTCAAATTGTGAAATAGTTCTTCTGAAAGTAATACATTCTTCAGCATATTATCTTACATAAAGTAGCCTCTCTAACCAAGAACCAGCTAACAGTGGGGACTGGACAATAAGAAATGGAAAAGAGAATTACTTGTTAGGATGTACTCTGTGAATCTTTGTAGGCTTTTATCTTGTATAAGAATTAGCCGGCAGAGTAATTGTTTAAAAAGCATTCTTTCTATTTCATATTGAAACCAAAACAGTCAATGTTGGAGCATTAGAGTGCAAGTGCTTCTTACGTAAGCATGTTATTAAATTATATCAATTCTAGGAATATATCAGATCTGACTCTAGAATAATACTGTCCGATAAAACTTGGTGTTATAATGGGTTGATAATGCGTACATTCTGTATTGAAGCTGTTCATTATAGTACCTGCCACCCGCCTATGACTATTGAACACTTGAAGTATAGCTGAGATAGCTGATACACTGAATGTTGACTAACTCAAATAGCCACTGTGGATACCATATTGGACAGTGCCGCTGTAGAATGGGATTGTTACCATGCAGACAAAACTTGCTCTTTTACTCCACACCTCCTACATGAAATTATCTCTGTAGTAAGATTGTGTAACCCTCAAAATGCTGTCCTGTGTCCTTTGGCTGGTGTAAAAAGCAAAGTGCAAGGTAGCTCTGGTGGCTTAATAGCAAGAAGCTGTGCTGAAATCCTGAAGGTACACGATTTAAATCCACCAGATGCTCTGCTGGAGAAGGAGGGAGAATCTCCTCCTGGGCCACTCGGATCCGACTCAATGGTACACAACAAGGGGGGGGGAAAGGCAAATTGCAAAGCCTACACAAGAGCTTTCTTTGTTTTCAGATGTACCTTTTTGTTTTATTTTTTTGGGCGGATTTGGTGTTTTGTTTTTTGTGGTTTGTTTTTGGTTTTGTTTTTTTCCATGAAATAAGGTTCCTTATTTTAGCATTGTACCATTCCTTTTTGGGTGCAGTTTCTTAGCTGATATTGCTAATTTTTCTGTTGGTTTTATTTTTAGTAAGTCATTTTCATCTGATTCTGTCTTCATTTTAACATAACCATTTGCTAATTCTTTCTTCCTTGGCAGTTTGCACCTGAGTTTCAAGTCGGAGATGGAATTGGAATGGATTTAAAACTGTCCAACCATGTTTTCAATGCTTTGAAACAACATGCCTACTCGGAAGAGCGTCGAAGTGCCCGCCTCCATGAAAAGAAGGAGCATTCTACTGCAGTAAGTGTTCATTTGTTTTGGTTTTGTTTTCTTAGTGGAAGGATTTATGTTAGGAAACTTCATGTTTGACAGGAGACACTCCATGCTTGATATCTTGTTATGTGATTATTGTTGTTGTTATTGTTACATGTCATCTATTCAACCACAACTCATAGCAACCCTATGCACAGTAGCTCGGAACCCTGCTCTTTCCTAGGCCAGTCTCACTGTGTCTGACACACCTACCCTAATTTACCGCCGTCCCTTGACCCTCTCAAGCATCATGTCCCCTTTAAAGGATTGATCCCTCCTGGCAGCATGCCCAAAGTATGCGAGACGGAGCCTCAAAATTCTTGCCTCCAGGGAGCCCAGCTATGTCATATGATTAACTTTTCATATCAAAGATGACTAATGTCCATGTGGATTTGCCGTTTGATTTTTCTGTTTTAATGTACTAGTTACTAATCATTAAATCAAAGCTAATAATTTAGTGGTCATAATTAATTTTAAGTATAACATTTATATTGCCACTAGATATTCCCAATTTCTTTTTTTTTTAATTCTTTTTTTGTGAGTGTACCATCAAATTGGATCTGACTGGTACAAGAGGAGATTGACCCTCCTTCTCCAGCAGAGCATCTGGTGGAGAAGAATAAGGAAGTAATTTTTTTTAAACTTTATTATTTTTTTGTGTGTGTACTACCAAATCAGATGTGGCTGTACAGGAGGAGATTGTCCCTCCCTCTCTCCAGGAAAGCATCTGATAGATTCAAACTGCACACCTCTAGGATTGCAGTGCAGTTTCTTGCCACTAGGCCTCCAGAGCTCACCCCCAAATTCATTTAAAAAACTGTTTCTTACTACTTTATTGAAATATCTATGGTAACTTAATAGTCTTATATTTTACAGTAATTGCAGTAATGTCTAAAATATCAAGAATAAACTATTAACCCTTTTTTAAAAAGTCTTAAGTATGCTAGAAGAGCTATTTAAACTTTGGAGAGAAAACAGGATTTTGAATAAGCCGATTGTCTTGGCTTTTTATTGTTCTTTTATATACTCATTTGCACATGAGTGAAATAAACACATGAGTGTCACAGTTGAGAGACCCCTGCTGGCATAGTCTATAGCAAATTGTGCTACTATCCCAAAGACCATGCCTCTTACCATTCGAATCCACCAGCTGCTCCACAGGAGAAAAGTGGGCAGCCTCTTGTCATGCTATTGGTAGGCTTGGAAACGCAGTGGGGTGTCTGCTCTGAGATGGTTCCCACTTGACAACAATGAGTTTGAGTTTTAAGTGTTAAAATTTTTGAAAATGAATTGTGTCTTGGTAACCCTCTTAGGAGAGTCTGCCATTTCTACATAGAGATAAATAATCAAGATAAAAAAAGATTTTTTTACCAAATTTTTCCTGTAAGATACTGGAAAGAATATGTTTGTGATCAACAGTCATTTTCACCTGTGGTGCTCTGTCTTTTTACAGGAAAAAGCAGTTGACCCTAAAACACGCTTACTTATGTATAAAATGGTCAACTCCGGATTGCTGGATTCAGTCACTGGCTGTATTAGTACAGGGAAGGAATCTGTTGTCTTCCATGCATATGGAGGGAGGTAAGTCAGCAGAGTAAAATGCCATTATGTGATCAAAAGTTAAGCCCTCTCTCCCCAGTATTAATGAATTTAAGTGGAGGACTTGATTAAGTACTTGATTTGATGGGGGAGCAGGGGGCGGCAGTATGTCTGGACCCTGAAGCATAGGGTGTGAAGAGGAGGGAAGACGCTGAAGTTAAATGAGGTGCTTGTGTTTGGAACCGCAGAGATATGTGGTAGTGAAAGTGGAGACTAGGAATTGGTTAGAATTTGTATTGAAGGTAGAGTCAGGAGTTTTGGGTTGAATGTGTGGTTGACCAGAGCAGTTTGATGGTGAGAAGCATTTACTGAGGTAGAGCTTGAGAAAGGGCAGGTTTCCAGAGTCATGTGTTTTGGTTTGGGTGTTTGGTGTGCGAAGTGTCTGTTAAACACAAATGGTATCAAGCAGATGGTTGGATAACTGAGCCTGAAGTTCCAGAGAAAGCCAATGTGACATTATCAGTGGTGAGATGGTATAAAAAGCCATGAAGCTAAATGAAATGTCCAGAAAGAGGAGGTAGTTATAAGAAGAAAGGAATTAGTTAAAACCAGTTGGAGTAGTCTTAACGTTTTGAGGCTAAACAGGAGGATGAGTTAGGGAGCTCTGGTGGCCTAGTGGCAAGAAGCTGCACTGCAGTACCAGAGGAGGATGAGTCTGCAGAAAAAGGCACAAAAGAGGTAAGTTGGTAGTTTAATTCCTAGTGTACCCTCTGAAATACAGTTCCTTTTCCTGATTAATGTTCTTCAGGTGTTTAAAGGTAAGTATCTCATTCTATCCACCTCCATTTTGTTCCCAGTGCCTCCCCCCCATGATTCTTAAGCCCTTCAGTGTCTAAGTTCTTCACATCTGAAGCCTCTTCCTCATTCCATCCTGACTGGTCATTTGATCTTCATGAAGTATGTCATTGATAGTCTAACTCAAAGGTCCTTGGTAATTCCTCACAGCCATTGGGAATGCATCCAGGTTTCTCACACAGATATCCAGAGTTCATAGCTCCAATTTCTGGTTTTTTTCTGTCTCGGGCTGTGTCTTACTTGTAGAATGTGCCATTCCTCAGACAAGTCCTATTCTGGTTGTTTCAGATGCCACTTGGGCCACAAAGCCTCATGAAACTTTTCCCGTCAGAACTTAATTGCCCTGTTCATGGGTGATTTTTATTCTTTCTTGTCCCTGCAGGTACACTCACAGGCAGGACATTCTAGAATTTTCTACAAGTGAAAGAATGTTTTGTTTGTTTTTTAAAAACTACTTATTTCCTCTTGTTTATGTTAAAATTTGTACTTGGACCATCCCCAGCTAGACCATAGCTGGTAAAGTACATTTTGTTGTAGTTATTCCTCAATTTGATTCCATAGTAATTAAGCAAAGAATTATATATTATAGATTATTGCAAACTGATTGACAGTTTGTTTGGAAAGGTGCTTTTTGAATGAAAACAAAACAAGGGAGTGCTGGTGGCATAATGGCAAGAAGCTTCACTTCAAACCCAAAGGTGCATGGTTTGAATCCACCAGACGCTCTGCTAAAGAAGGATGAGCGGTCTCCTCCTGTGCCTGTTGGATTTGATTCGACAGTACGCAACAAGAAAAAAAAAACTAAAAAATAAAACTTAAGAATCTTATGAAAATTCAAAAGTGTGTGTGTATAATACAAATCTTTAATAAATAGACTATATAAATATGTTTATATATACACACACATGTATTTGTGAGAAACTATAGAATCAATGTCATAAAATCTTTATTTTGAAATTGTTTTAGTTGTACTGATTAATTTTTTTCTCCCTTTTTCCATTTAGCATGGAGGATGAAAAGGAAGATAGTAAAGTTGTACCTACAGAATGTGCCATCAAGGTATTTAAAACAACCCTTAATGAGTTTAAGAACCGTGACAAATACATTAAAGATGATTTCAGGTTTAAGGATCGCTTCAGTAAACTAAATCCACGTAAGATCATCCACATGTGGGCAGAAAAAGAGATGCACAATCTCACCAGGTAACAAGATCCTGGGGCATCGCCTTTTCCTGTTAGGTGGCCAGGCCACAAATCTGTGTTTTCTTTTCCATTTATCTCTAGAAATAACAATCAGTAATACTTCCTATAGAAAACATTTTATATAATAGCCTGATTCCATGTTTTTAGGAAGAAAAGACTTTCTCCCCCTCTTAGTAAAGACTGAGGAAGACTTGAAGCATTTTCTGCCTGATATTTCTGTCTTATATGTCCAAATGCTATGTTTAAAATTACCATCTTCTAGAAACAAAAATTTCAGCCTTCAGTTAGGTTTAGAATATGTAGTGATTTCCTTTTTTCATTTCAGAAAAGGGTTACTACTTTTAGTATTTGTTGATTTGGTAGATATGAGATCTTATCTCCCATCTCAAATTGCTTCTGTTTCTCAGTTTTCTAAGCAGTTTCTTTTTAGCAAAACAGTTCATTTAATCACTCATAATTTTACATAGTAATCATTCCCTTTAATAATATTTTCTATTAATCTTTTGAAAACTTAGTTTTAGTTTCTTTCCTAAAGATACTCACTTTCAGAAATAATTATACCTGTATAGCAGCTTGAAAATTCTTCTAACTATAGAACTTCTGTGTATCATTTCCTAAGAGATCTTGCTGCCCTGGAGTCTATTTTCATAGCTACCCATGGCTTTTATTATGTACGTACTATGTGCCAGATTTCTGTTCTCTCTAATTGTTCTTTTTGCATGCCCTGTGTTCCAAGGCTCCTCCGCACCTGTCAGTACACACCTTACAGTGTGTTCCTCCTATGTCTGTCATTTCCACCAGACCATGGGACTTTTAAGGGCAGAAGCAGTCTTCCTGTCTTCCTATTCCTACATAACCCAGAGTAGATTATAATGTGCCATCTTACTAGAGACACTGCATAGATATTTGTAGAATAAATGAAAGGTGGTTGGTTTTGGGTTTTTTCTTTATCTGATCTTTACGTTATTAATCATCTCTTTCTTCACAGAATGCAAAAAGTTGGAATTCCTTGTCCAACAGTTGTAATGCTTAAGAAACACATTCTAGTTATGTCTTTTATTGGCCATGATCAAGTTCCTGCTCCTAAATTAAAAGAAGTAAAGCTCAGTTATGAAGAAATGAAAGAAGCCTACTATCAGACTCTTCATGTAAGCATGCACCTTTTTAAAAGATCTTTCATCTGAATTTTAAAAAATAGTGCCTGAAACAGTATTTCAAAGCGATACAGAAATGAGTGAAGTTTGTGAACAACTATTAACGTTAAAGTTTTGTTCTTGTATCACTTTATGGGTGTCTTGAATAATTTTTTTTAAAAAACAGCACATTTAAGAAACAAGTGAAAACAGGTAGCATTAATGACATGAAACATGAAGCTGTTACTCACAAGGCTTTAAAAGAGAAAATCTGATGTTACCACATTTGCCTCATTGCTTTGTACACCTTGCATGCTCTAACTAGAACAGCAAAGGAAGTGCTGGGATTATTGATGGAAACTCTCAGAAGTAGACTTGGCCTCGTAATTAGAAAGTGATGATCAAAACTGAAGTTGGTAGGGAGTGGGCTTTTCTGTTCATACAGATGTTAAGAGTTGAAAAGCTCATTTCAGAAATCTTGAAACAAGTTATTTAGGTCTCACGACTATTGTTTTATGTAGTCATAGATCCTTCTGGCTTAAGAAAATGCTCCTGGTAGAATTTTCATTGAACAGTGGAGATATTTAAGTGCTTTCTACAAAATTTCCATGTGTAGCTATATTCACGTCTTGTAGCATCAGATGTGAATATATAAGTGTTGATCTAAATTATGAAATAATTACTAGAGAGATTATCCAGTGGGAAATCAATGACAGTAAATTTCAGTCCAGTTTTTCTGGCTTCTTTGGGATGTATCTAGGAAGAGAGTAAAAAAAGGTTCTGTCCCTATTTGGTTCTGTTAAAGTCTGAGAAACATATTAATACTGGTTTCCACTTTATGGCAAAGGGTCACTGTCAATGAGTTTTTAATACCGCTTCATTCACATAAATGTCCCTTTCTCACTTTTGTCTGACTGTTCATTATAAGATCTGTTTCCCAGAGATGGGCTGCCGTCCTGCTCATCAGCTCTTCCCCTCAGGCTGGTCTCCTTGCTGTCATGCGGGCCAGGCAGTGGACTGTCACACACTCATCCTGCCCTTCCTTGCCATTGTCTTACTGCCCCCTCACTGAATCTTAAAAAAAGCCCACCAAGGGATGGTATAAAGGAGAGAGGAAACCAATTCGTGACTTTGATTTTGCTTTTTTGGAAAACACTGATATGCATATAACAGTCGCATAAATAAATGCTAAGTGTTCATTTCTTCAACACTTATCGTACTTTCTCACAGATGATGCAGCAGTTATACAATGACTGTACACTTGTACATGCTGACCTCAGTGAATACAACATGCTGTGGCATGCCGGAAAGGTGAGAAGCTTATGTTATTAATCCACTCACTCATTGGCTTCATAGCTGTAATTCACTCTAGATGAGATTGCCCCTCTTTGTCCTACAGATCCACTGGTGGATTCAAACCACTGGGAGGCACAGCTTTTGAGTTAGCAGCACTGCACCCTACAGACTGCTACCAGAGCTCCCTTTATTGTTAATACCCAGATTAAATTACTTGAATGTGAATTACTGAATGTAAACAGTGTCTCCTCTGGACTTAACTAGGTCTGGTTGATTGATGTCAGTCAGTCTGTGGAGCCAACCCATCCTCACGGCCTGGAGTTCTTGTTCCGTGACTGTCGGAACGTCTCACAGGTAGGCTTACAAATAAGCATACCCTTTCCTGTGGATTAAAAGAGGTCCAAATGCTTTCTTACTCCTAAAATAAATGAGATAGACTATAGACTCACTGATTAAGATAAACACTGCTTGCTTTCAAGGAAGGTTACAATCTTGGATGTACAGAAAAGTTGTCAAGTTTCATGTTCGATAAGAATATGATCATATGCTTTTATATTTAAGCTATTACATTTTCAAGGAAATATGTTTTTACTTTGACTCCAAACATTTAAGCAAGCAAGTAGGCAGTTAATCCAATTTAATGCCAAGTACTTAAAAAACTTCAGTTTGCTTGGCTCCACAATCAACACTCTTAGAGATGTTCAATTCCCAAAATTTCATTTATAAGGTAACCTAGTGACTTAACTTGTATTTCTTTATTAGTTTTTCCAGAAAGGAGGCGTAAAGGAAGCCCTTAATGAACGAGAACTCTTCAATGCTGTTTCAGGCTTAAACATCTCAGCAGATAATGAAGCTGATTTCTTAGCTGAGGTCAGTATTTTGCTTCTATCTCTGCCTTTCTGGGAATGGGGAACTGAATAAAGTGGACAGGTGAAACTGTTCCACAAGTATGACTTGCATTTGGCCAAGTGGCCTGTGTTGTCATTCTGTCATACATGGTATCATTATGTGTCAGACTGACTTAGCACCTAATAAGCAGACCAGTCAGTGATGGATAAGAAATGTGGTAAATCCAGCATAGTACAACTCCTCATAAATAGAGAACAGTTGTTATAAACATTAGAATTCCCTTCCTCTTCCTTAAAAGCTTTGTATGTTGTTGTTTATATCATCAAGTCAGATGACCAACTCAGAGCTTACTCTCTAGGAGGTTTTTCGGAGACTGTAAATGATATGAGAAGGGCGGGGGGAAGGGGATATGCCCATCATTCTCTGTGGAGCAGCTGGTGGATTAGAACCTCCTGCCTTTGACTTGGCAGGAGCCAACTTAACCACTAAGCAACCAAAGCTCCCTCAAAGCTTTGTATAGTGGACAGTTAAATGTATCTGATTCCAGTTCTTACCTTGATAAAGATTCTGTGTGTATTGACCCAGGTAATAAAATCGAGGCAGTAACATGTTCGAAGAATAAAATGTACATACATACTCACATACTATATAGTAACAGAGGTTTCTTCTTTTATTATTATTTTTGAGTGAAGATTTACAAATCACACTGTTTCTTTTAATGAGAGAACAATTTATTTCAAAAAAGAAAAATTTATTTCAAAAAAGATCGTTTGTGTGCTTGTAGAGCCTGGCAAGCCCTACGCCCACTGGTCAGATGATAGGACAGAGATCCTCCTGGCTCAGACGGCTGCAGGGTCTGACAAAGTCAAGATCAGCAAGTCAGATTGCGGGGTGCTGGCTGTGGAGGCTGCTGATAAGCAGGCAGTAAAGCAGGCTGCTAGCTCAAGTCTGAGCTATCAGAGATCAAATGGTGATGAGCCAGATGTAGGATACAGATTTAGAAAATCACATTGATTTTTAATGCAATTATTCTTAGGCATTTTGGTTTGTAACATTAACGACCATTGATTAATTTATTATAGTGTTGATTCGTTCACACTGTACTTCAAAGTCAGCACCATTAGCAGTGTACAAGGGTTTTTTTGTTTTTGTTTTTTAATGTGCAAGTTTTAAGAAAATAGAAATACTCAACCTAAAGCAGCATTTCTTTTTTTTGGAATTTTTTTTTTAATTATTAAATTTTATTAGTTTTAATGAACATTTACAGAGATTTGGGGTTTTCATTCATTCATTCATTCATTGTTGCACTGTTTAAAGTAGCATTTCTATAAAGTACCGTTTTGACAGGTGACTATGTTCATTTTATAGATCGAAACTTTGGAGAAAATGAATGAAGATCATGTTCAGAAGAACGGAAGGAAAGCGGCTTCATTTATAAAAGATGATGGCGGTCCACCAGTACTGTACAATGAATAGCAGTAATGCCCACTGCTAGTCATGTTAGCACAGTGGTGACTGTCAGCTGCCAGGGGCAATGAAGTTATGGGTGACTTGAAATACCAAAAAAGGAAACATGAGGAGTGTACAATGGTGCTTCTGTGGTTTTTCTTTTTCCTTGTAACTCATGTGCCAGATGTGTGGAATTTTTAGCTCAGCACTGAAAAATAGAATGTCACTACCTCTCATCTTATGAATAGGATAGCTCTTTAACAGCTAAAGGTAATCTACCTGAAATACACCTGATTTTATATGATTCCTGGCATAGAGTGTTTTCTTGAGAATTTTTAAAACTTGGCAAATTAGTCCCAGTATGGGAGGACAGGACAGATGTGTTTACAGGGGAAGAGTTTTGTTACAACGTATTTTCTTTTTCACCTCCCTGCTTTGTGTGGCATTTTTCCACAGATATTTTACTGCCCTAAAATTAGCCCATCTCAATTCTTTTTCTAGACTCTGACCATGATTCTAAAGAAAAATTACTTTTTTTTAAAGTGGGTGTTATAAATGGAAATTTGGTTTCACAGTAGATGATGAAAATAGATATAAGCAGTATACTTTTTATTGTTATCTCATGAGAAGAAGCTGAATGCTGCTTTTTTCATAATTCCAAGAAAACATATCAGAGTCTCTGAAAAAAAAATGAACATTTAAGAACTTCTTAAATATCCACCAAAAAAATTTTTTTTAATTTTTATCTTTCCTACATTTAGCTAAAATGGTTAAGCTCTAACTCATGGTGTAAGCTGTTTTGCATTAATAATGGAAATATAAATTATTTAGAAGGACAGAAAAACTGACATTTTAATGAAGTAATGAAACAAGTTTCAGTTTACATTTCAGTCGAACAATATATTTACTAATTGATTTTAAGAGAAAGACAGCAAACAACTAGAAATATTAAATCAGTTGGGAGGAAATATGTTGAAAGCAACTAGAGTGCCAAATTAACCAACTAATTTGACCTTTTCATCATTTTTTAACACTGGACCACAATTCTAACAGAAAGCAAGCTCTATTGGTACATTAAGTAGGCATTTGTAAGCTACATCATAATTCCTCCTGTTAACCACTAAAGAAGACCCAGACTTACTGTCTGATGAAAGAAAAACATCTTAACATTTTAAAATGCTAAGTGTGTTCTTTTTAAAAAAATATTTATTTCTAGGGGAGCTCTGGTGGCCTAGTGGCAAGAAGTTGTACTGCAATACAGAGGTACACGGTTCAAATCCACCAGATGCTCTGCCGGAGAAGGAGGGACAATTTCCTCCTGTACCAGTCAGATCTGATTTGACGGTACATGCGCAAAAGATAATAATAAAAAAATTGTTTTTAAAAAATTTTATTTTGTTTTTGTTGTATAGTTCTTAGTGCATTTCAGAGAAAGGTGTATTTGCTACATTTCTGAAATGTTTACTGCTCTAAAACCAATATTAACAAACAGGTAATTATTAACTAATTTCAGAGAACTATCAAATTTTAAAAGCTTTGACCATTTAAGGTTTGTTTTCTAACATCTCTTTGACAAAGAGCAGCAAACTGTTTCTGTGTGGCATTCTTGGGGTGTGTTGTGAACATGCTTTTTTAAAATTAAAATTGAAGAAATCATTATAGAATTGGTTCTTTGTGTGCGTTCTTCCCGTTTCTTAGATCAGTTCTGGCACTCGGTTACTCTCTGCATAAATTAAGCAGTACTATTTTAAGCACCTTTTTTAAACTTCTCATGTTTAGATTTCCCTCTTAAACAGGCTATTTCATATTACAAAAACTTTCTCTTGACTTATAGATCAGAGTATATTATTCCCCTAGTGGAAAATGTTGGTTTATTAATTTAAAAATCAAATATAAATGGAAAATACACAAAATAGAAACTAGAATTATGTTATCTCCTTATAATGAAAGTGGATATATGATGAGCTATACTATGAGGTATCAAAATAAGGGTGACTGTGCTTCTTGTCGTTGTTATGGGCCATCAACTCATAGCGACCCTGTGTACAACAGCTTTGAGCCTTGCTCTATCTTGAGCCAATTTCATTATCTCTGACACATCTGTCCCTACTGCCCTAGTCACTGAGTCCATCTCACTTGGAATCTACCTTTCTTGCACTGTCCTTTCACCTTTCTCAGCACGATGTCCCTCTCTAAGGACTGGTCCCTCCTGGCAACATGCCCAAAATATGTCAGACGGAATTTCAGAATCCTTGCCTCCAAGGAGCAGCCTGGTTTCACCCTCTCTAGAATGAACCTGTTTGTTCTCTTAGCAGTCCACAGTATGTTCAATACTCTTCTCCAGCACAACTACTCAAGGGCATCAGTCCTTCTTCTCTTATCCTGAAGACTTGTCATTGTGATGGATAGCAAGTAATTGCAAAGACCATGGCCTGTATCAGGCACACCTTCATCTCTAGACTGATATCATTGCTCTTCAGTACTCTGGGGAGGTCTCTGACAGCTGATTTTCCAAATGCCATTTGATCTTTATTACAAGAGTGTTGCTTGTGGTGTCAAGCAAACTGAGGCTGATAACAATCTGAATTTTTCACCATATGCCATAATGCTGCCACTTGGCGCAATGGTAAGAATCTTTTTTTTAAACTATTTTTTGTTGTATACCATCAAATTGGATCTCACTGGTACAGGAGGATATTGCCCCTCCTTCTCCAGCAGAGCATCTGGTGGACTCTGCGTACCTCTGGGACTGCAGTGCAGCTTCTTGCCTCTAGGCCACCAGAGCTCCCTAAGAATGTTTGTTTTCTTGATGTTGAGCTTCAATCCATATTGAAGGCTATAGTCCTGAACCTTCTGCAGCAAGCGCTTCAGGTTTTCTTCCGTTTTGGCAAGGAGGGTTGTGTCATCTGCATAACACAGTTTGTTGATGAGTCTTCTCCAGTCCTGATGCCACATTCCTCTTCATAGATCCCAGCCTCCCAGATGATCTGTTACACATGTAGATTGAAAAAGTATGGCATACACCTTTCCTGATTTTGAACCATGCAGTGTTTCCTTGCTCTGTTCCAACAACTGTCTCCTGGTCCAAATACAGATTTTGTATAAGTACAATCAAATGTTCTGGGATTCCCATTTTTTTGCAAAGTTAGCCAGATTGTTGTGATCCACATAGTCAAATACCTTGTCAGTGAAACACAGGCATTCCTCTAGTACTTTCTCCTTTTGCGAAGATCCATCTAACATTGGCTATAATGTATATAATGCCATGGCCTCTTCTAAACCCAGCCAGCACACCTGGCAGTTCTCTGTTGAAGTGTTGTTGCAGTCACCTTTGAATAATTTTCACCAGGATCTTGCGTGCATGAGATATTAATATTGTTTAATAATATCCACACTATTGAATCATTTCCTTTAGAACGGGAATAAATATAGATCTCTTCCAGTCAGTTGGCCAGGTGCTTGTCCTTCCTATCACCTGGTGGGCGTGTCCAGGGCAGCATCTGTTGAAATACGTCAGTTGGTATGCCATCAGTTCCTAGAACCTTGTTGTTACTGCCAGTGTCTTCAGAGCAGCTTGAACTTCTGTTTTCATCACCCTATGCTCTTGATCATATGTTTCATGAAATTTGTCCGTGTCAGCTAATTTTTGGTGTAGTGTCGGTGTGTACTCTCCATCTTTTGATGCTTCCTGGGTCATTCAACATTCTGCCCTCAGCATCCTTAAGTATTACAACTTGAGGCTTGAATTTGTTCTTCAGTTCCTTTAGCTTAAGAAATGCTGAGTGAGTTCGTCCCTTTTGATTTTCTAACTCCAGTTATTTGCACATTTCATCATAATACTTTGCTTTGTCTTCCAGTGCAGCCCTTTGATATCTTCTGTTCAGGTCCCTTTGCTTTGGCTTCTTGGTGCTCTTGTGCAATACTGAGTCTCTTCTGACATCCATTTTAGTCTTTTCTTCTTCTTTTTTTTTTTGTTTTTTTTTTCTTCTGTCTTTATAATAAACTTTTGCTTGAAGAAATTTTATTTCAGATGTAAGTGTGTATATTTTCCGTAGAATCGGAACTCATAGCTGACCCTCCAGCAAGTTTTTAGAGGCAGTTAATTGCATGGGACATTATCCATCCTTCTGTGGAGGTGCTGGTGGCCTCAAACTACAAGCCTTAGGGATTACAGCACAGCTTATGGCCACTTAGCCCCCCAAAGTTATGTTGTTGTTGTTGTTGTTATGTGCGACTCATAGCAACCCCATGTACAACAACCCAAACCCTGCTCTTAAGTGTCTTCTTCTGCGCTGTCCCTCCACCCTTCCACGCATGACATCCCTCTCCAAGGACTGATCCTGCCTTGCAGCATGTCAAAGTATGTCAGACAAAGCTTCAGAATTCTTGCCTCCAAGGAGCAGCCTGCCTTGACCCTCACCAGGACGAACTATCTGATGGTGAGTGGCAGTGGATTCAAGAGACTGGCAGTGTTAACAGCACTGTCTACTGGATCAAGTTGGTAATTGGTGCAGGGTTCCCAGGCAGGTTCAAAGAGTGCACACTCGTGGTCCTTTCTTGTTTGCAGATCTCCCTTGTTAGTCTTTAGAAAGTCTTGTTTGTGTTTTATTTTCTATTAGTTTATTTACAAAATTTTAATACATTGTTTTCAAGAACAGATTTTTTCAGTTTCCCTCAACCCCCCAATTCATCAAATTGTACAACCCTATGATTAATACCCCCTCCCCCTGCACATCCTCATCCCTCTGCTTCCACCTTCACCCACTCCCTTTGGATCCTTATACTCATTCTACAATAATGTTTTTATACAATATTTATCCTTGTGGGCTGAGTTCACTCAGTGTAATGCTCTCCAGTCCCTCCCAAGTTAGGTAATAATTGACAAAATTATTGCTCCTGCATGCTGCATAGTAATTCCATTGTGTGGGCGTACCATAATTTCTCAATCCATTAATTTGTGTTTGGATGTTTGGGCTGTTTCCATGTTCTTGCAATGGTGAATAATGCTGCTATGAACATTGGTGTAAAAATCTCAGTTTGTGCCTCAGTTCTCATTCTCAGGGTATATCCCAAGTATTAGAATAGCTGGGGCATATGGAATTTCTATGTTCAGCTTTTTTTTTTTTAGTTCAGCTTTTTGAGGAAGCTCCAAGCTGCCTTTCAGAATGGTTATACCATTAGAAAGACTTATTTAAACCAAATAGAATGCCATAAACTGACCAATCCCCACATTAGAGTCC